GTGATGGAATGCCATGTAGCTACTTTCCAGTAGGTATATATGTAGGCTTTCAGATGTTTTCCAGATAATGCTTCTTCAACAAATTTTGAATTTTTTTTTTCGTGAAATTTAGATAACGTTTGAGTAACATTTGGATGTAATTTACATAATGTTGTTTGATAAGCAACTTTGAGTGATTTACATAAAAAACTTTTTTTTGAGATTTTTTGAGATTTTTTTTTTTGAGATTTTTTGAGATTTTTTTTTGAAATTTTTTTTGAGATTTTTTCTTCAAGAATAATTAATGACTGATTTTTTCTAAAGATTACATGTTTTATTTTCAGTGGCTGTAAATATTCCAAAAAGTATATCTTTCTTCATATATTTGTACCAAAATTAGCAGCGTATATACATAGAGGGGTATATTATATTGCAGTGTATATACACTGAATATACTTTAATCCTTATTTTAGGTTAGGTTAGGTTAGGTTTGTCAGGTTAGGTTAGTTAGGTTAGGTTTGTCAGGTTAGGTTAGGTTAGGTTTGTCAGGTTAGGTTAGTTAGGTTAGGTTAGGTTAGGTTTGTCAGGTTAGGTTGGTTAGGTTAGGTTAGGTTTGTCAGGTTAGGTTAGGTTAGGCTAGGTAAGTTTTGTCAGGTTAGATAAGGTTGGGTTAAGTTAGGTTAAGTCAGGTTAGGTTAGGTTAGGTTAGGTAAGGTTTGTCAGGAAACTGGACAAGTGTTTCCTGACGTGGGACTTGGTCATATGATGACCCACAGCTGGAGCTTTTGGTCATCTGACCGAGGCCTTCCACTGGCTTACCTGTCCACCGCTGGTTATAATTACAACCAGATTATTTTAGGAATGTCAAGTATTCTTGACTGGTGTACAGATGATATACGGCCGTAGTAACCCTCGTTTAGCAGACAGACTTCAAACTTACACCTGCGGCCAGCAGTAACAACCTGATTAGTGAGGTCCTGATCCACCGGGAGGTCTGGTCGTGGACCGGGCCGCAGGGGCATTGATCCACGGAATACCCTCCAGGTGGACTCCGAGTAGAATGGAGGGGGGGGGGGGTTATCGTAATGCTGGTGAAGGTCTCAAAATTCAAGGAACTGGAGATACCATTACCTTCCTCGGATCAAATATAATTACCTCCCATTCCTGAGGCGTTACATCAAACCTACGGGTTTATTGCTTCCCTTGAGTTTAGCAATAATAATATGAACCTATCAAACCAATTAATGCCATTTAACATTAGTGGCTTGCCAGATTGAACAGTCAACAGAAAATCCTGCTCAAGGTAATGTCACAGGTTCCAGGTATCAAACAATTTGCAGTTTTTTAACTATAGTATTTGCACGCGTCTGGCAAGACAGTGATGGAGTGAGTGATGATACAAGTGTTTCTTCTTTTTCGGGTTACCCTGCCTCGGTGGGAAACGGCCGATATGTTAAAAAAAAAAATGATGTAAATTTATTAATTTGTTGTGCGTAGTTAGGAAGGCAGTTGCTCACCCACTTTCCATGTGCACACATATATATCTTTTGAGAGCCAACATTTCACTGCATTTCACAACCTCCGCTGCCAAGATGAATTATTCTAGTAACGTTTTCCCCCTGACATATTCTGCAACCCACGCAGCTTTTGTTCACTCGTGCAGCACTAGTAGGCATAGCTGGTCTGTGTTGTAGTGACACTTACACCACTGGTAGGGCATAGCTGGTCTATGTTGTAGTGACACACCACTGGTGGGGCATAGCTGGTCTGTGTGTGACACTACCACTGGAGGCTAGCTGGTCTATGTGTGTGCACACCTGTGGGGCATAGCTGGTCTGTGTTGTAGTGACACTTACACCACTGGTAGACATAGCTGGTCTGTGTTGTGGTGATACGTATAGCACTGACAGACATAGCTGGTCTGTATTGTGGTAACATGTACACCACTAGTAGACATAGCTGGTCTGTTGTAGTGACACGTATATCACCGGTAGACATAGCTGGTCTATTGTTGACACGTCTACCTCTGGTAGATATAATTGGTTAGTGTTATGGTGACACGTACACCACTGGTAGACATAGCTGATCTTTGTTGTGGTAACACGCACACCAGTGATAGACATAGCTAGTCTGTGTTGTGTTGCTGATGCAACACGCAAGTCCAACGTTGGGCCACACAACATGGCCGATCAAGGAACTTACCTCAGAGACAGCAAGGAGTGAATTACTTTATACACGACAGCATATATGTTAAAATTTGAAGTGTATTGCGTGTATGCGAGAGATATTTTACAAGAACTGGGGGGACTTCTTGCACCGTTACGTAGCGCAAGTGCGTAATTTAGTCTAGTATAAAGTTGGTGACAGTGGGGCCAGAATAAGACTGCATGACGAGGCTGCAGCGCTCTCAGGGTCACCCACGCTCTGGTAATTACTTTCCTGCTACTCTCCTCTTCTAGGACCCTTGGTGGGATGGGGAAAGGGGGGGGGGGTTCCCTTCATGTTTGTGAGGAGGGATCTTGAGTCAGGAAATTGGAGCTACCCTCCCCTTCCTCGGATTAAATCAAATTATCTCTTATTCCCTAGGCGCTGCATTAATAATAATAATAATAATAGTAATAATAATAATTAAAAACATGCTAGTGTTAAAATGCTAGTATATGGAAGAGGGATTACGAATTTTTCAGATTCTTATTATTTTCCCTTGCCTTGCACGTCTACTACTGCACATATACATATTTTTTTCCTTTGTACATGTAAATCGATAACGCTCAGAGCGACGGCTGCTACACCAACAGTCAGGCTAATGTTAAAATAATTGCATCTCTTTTTAGTTATGCAGAATGTGTGACCACAACAATGCTAATAGATTTGCTTAAAGCATGGAGTTCATATAAGGCAATGCATGCATGGAGATTATTATTATTATTATTATTATTATTGGAAATAATTGGTATAAAATACCGACACAGTGGAAATATTTATTATTATTATTATTATTTTATGGAAGGGATGGAAAACAAGAAGTGTAAGTCATGGACTTAGTGTTGTAATCATTGTGCATGATACGCTATACATCATATTCTTGCACAAACCCACAAGAATATTTTGTTTTCGCACAGAGATTCTACATGGTATGGATTTAGAATTCTCATATTTATTTTGGCAATGGTGTTATCCAGACCAGGTCTACTAGTTCATGTCTTGATCAACAAGGCAGTTGGTGCTTGCCGCACGCAGTCAACTGTGTTAGCTGTGTTGATATGTTTGCGGCTAGCACTAACTGCCGTGGTGAACAGGCACCACAAGTCATTTGATCAGGAACTTTTCAAGAATCTGTGGAGTTCACTCTTGAAACAGCTAAGGGTATGTTGGTGATCCTTCTTACGCATAACAGGAAGGCGTTAAAGAGTCGTGGTCCCCTAACACTTTTGAGTTCTCTCTGTGTACTCGTTGCTCCCTAGCTTTTCATTAGAGGTATTCTACACCCTCTGCCAAGCCTCTTGTGTTTATTAAGTAGTAATTTCGGCGTCCAGGTTTGGGACACCCTGTCAGCATAGTTGCTGATCCCTGTATTCCCTGTATTATATAGCATAGCATATTAGTATCATCCATGTGCTTTAGATACGAGATCCCTTGTAGGCCTGTGGCTTTGTGTGACGTCACGGGATACAGATGTGTAGGCTCATACCTCTGCCCCGGCCTCACTCGGCGGCAGACCATTCAGCGGGCAGGCAAGGCAGCTGGGCTCCATCCCTCATCTCAGTCTAACAATATAGTTACCATCCTACAAGTGTGTCTACCTTCAACCTGCGATATCTCCATTAAAGAACCCTTTACGATAACCCCTCCCATATAAAGCTGGAGTCGTCCCTGAGGTTGACATTCCCTAATAATAATAATAATATAATAATAATAATAATAATAATAATTGGGTATGCGCTGTGGTGTTTGTGTGAGAGGGCCGGGGCAGGAGACAGCTAGCATGGTCAAAACCGAGGAGCTTTGAGTGGTCAGTTCAGCACTTCCCCTACAATCACCACATTTCGTACGTTTATATTTATTCTCCAGGAGCACCTTCCAAACATGGGTCTTTTCGAGTGGGTAATGTAAAACTGCAGGTACCAATAATAGTTCAATAGCTAGAGCCCGGTGGTTCTATTCTTATGGCTGGAGATGGATGATTGCTGTCATGCAATCATGGTGCCGTTGGCACTATGGCTGCCCCAGGGCGCTGCAAGCCTTGTATGGATGTGGTGCAGTAGTTAACTACTGTTAGTGATGCATATGTAGTGTCTTCAGTTTGGTGTTAACTATGTGACAGCGCTTCTCAAAACTTAAACCTCGGCTCATTTCAGGGCCAACTACAACACTCGACCTTTAGGTGTGACCACTCACTACCTGTGGTCTGCAGACAGGGTCGAAGACGGATGATGCCCACTCCTTTCTACCACAAACATAATTTATATCACATAAAATATATAAGCCTTGATACTCGATACGTACAAAGCTGTTACAAATTTTGACACGTAAGCAAATGCAAGGATACACAGTATTTATTAGAAAGTTTCGGTCGAGGGACAGAAGTAATCAAGGTTCCAGGACCGAAACATTTTCTGATGTCCTAGTGTTTGCTAACGTTTTTTTCTAACCATTACATAAAATGCCTATCGATAAAGCCAAAAATGTATTAGTAGTATTAGTAATAGGCCTCATGGCCCATGCTAGGCAGTTCCTACTGGGCCATGCTGGAGAGGCCTTACTCCCACCCAATCATCCAAATTAAAAGTGACACTATAAAATATTTCTGCGACGTTACTCAGCGGTTTATTCCACTCATCTAAAACTCTCTTGTCAAAATCAATGCTTTATTATATCCCATTATACCCTTTTCTAAATCTGTTTTACATCTTTGCTCCTTCCATCTTAAACATTCATCTCAGTAGCCAGTATGTCAGCCTTCTTTTTCTGTCTCTCAGAGTGTAACAAATTGCCTCACCGTAGAACTCCCACCTTCACAGAGATCAAGCCTCAGCGGCTGTACGTGGACGAGAAGGAGCAGCCCCTGACGATGCTAACGTCGAGTCGGGTTCCTCAGCAGCTAATGACCCGTATGGTGGCCATCTTCCTGCGGGAGTGGCTAGGCTACGTCAACCTCACCATCACCACCGTTGCTGACACATTTGACCCTGGCAGCGTCATCAATGCCATGAAGCCAGTCCACATTTATGACAATAACCCGTGAGTATTGGGCATGTGTTTTACTGTGGGTGCAGTGTATTATCGCAATCAAGTGTTTGTCGTATTGCAGTCTGATGTTTGTTGTAGTTTATTTCAAGGAAGTGTATTTGTTATGGATAAGCGTTTCTTATAGGCAAGTGTGTTTGTTGTATTCTCCTAGTTGTACTCACCGATGGAGGGGGATCGAGACTCAGCTCGTGCCCCAGCCTACTAGACCACTTGGATCTTCATCAGTGATTTCTAGCCTCTTGGGCCTTATCATATCTACTCTTGAAGTTGTGTACAAAATTTGCCTCCACCACTGCTTCATCCAAGCATTCCACTTCTCAGTCACTATGAGACTTAACGAAATACTTCATGACATATACCTATTGCTCAACTTTGTGTTCAGCTTTTACATGTATCCACCTTATCCTGGTCTTCTTAATTAAAATAGCCTGTTGCTATCTGCTCTATTTATCCCTCTAAGGATTTTGTATGCTGTAATCATAGTCTTCCCTTGTTCTTCTCTCCGCCAGGGTCGTCAGGTTTAATTCCTTCAACCTCTCCTCAGTGCATCTGTCTCAATTCTGGTGCTAGCCTGTTTGCAAATCTTTGGACCTTTTTCAAGGTTCTCAAATATGCTTTAATCAGCGTGGGCTTCATCCGGAGGCCTCGTGCTCAACCACTGGCCTGTCATATATTCTGAAGTTTTTATTGAGGTTCCTGAATGTTATTCGGTTTGCTAATCTGGCATATGAATAAATGTTGTAGACACTGTTTGTTGTGGATAAGTGTTTGTTGTAGTTATGTATATATTTACCACTTGTGTCTCATTTTCAGTGTACGTTGGGTGTTAAATTTCCTATTTTTTTTACATCAAATTATGTCCAGTTTAGGAGCATGATATTTCGTGTGAAATAGAGCAGAGAATTATATATGGTGATAAAAAGTGTATACTGCATGCTTAACAGAGTTACACGATATAAACGATCTTAGGAATCCTTGCCCATGGTGCTCTGTCCCAGACCAGAATGAGTGAGAATAAAATACAGATTTATAGTTTATCGATAACCTGAATTATGTTAAAAATGACTCTAAACAAGAATTGTTTTCGAAATTCTATATCCGTGCCTCAGAGTAGCAGCCGAGGCTAATGGAATCAGTCCAAGCATTTCCATATTATATGACCGCATTATTTATTGCCAATAAATATTAAGAGTTATTCAAAGCTACGAATTTTTTCATGTTATTAGTCAGTCCAGGCATTTCCATATTGTATGGCCGCATTATTTATGGTCAATAAATAGGCGATTTATTCCAACATGCGAATGTTTGTCATATTATTTTTGATTTGTGTAAATTATATTTATAATTTGATAGGATCCGCTTGATTCCAACGTCACTTAATAATTTGCAGCTTATGTCTGGCAGCGCCTTTCATGGGGGTGTGCCTTGATACTAGTGAAGAGCTCTTGATCCAAGGAATTGCAACTACTCTCCCCTTGGGTTATTCATAGGTGATGCTAAACCCGAAAGGGGTCATACAACGTCCCTTGGATCAAACCTGATTTTCCCCTTAGGTATTTATTTTTACGGGGTAGTGCAGTACCAGAATAATTATTATAAGCAAAACTAAGCGGTAAACCCACAAGGGTCAATACAGCGCTGCAACCAGAATAATTATAGTACAGGGAGGCCAGGTCTGACACCGGGCCATCATATCTGGAATCATTTTCAGGTAACCCCGAGGATATTTGTTGAGACATTTCTCTTAGCTGGTATTTAATACCATTTCTTACTTGACTTCTACGGATTAGTTTAATAATACTAATAAAAAACATTTATCTTGAGGTAAAGTACTTATTTATAAGTCCCGTGGTGTATGCAGCTGAGACACGCACTGTGATAGCACATGCTAAGCTGGAATAATGTATATATAAGTGTAGACGTTGTTCGTAGTTTTATATTTACTATATATAGCCACTTGGCAGAGATCACTTTTGAGTGATACCCAGTTCAAGAGCGAAGCTTCCCTTCTTGTACTTATTTGTTCAAGACTTTGATTAAGTGTGCTTGAAGCCTATTGATAACATGAACGTTTATTTATAATTTTATTAAGGTCATTAAGGCTGCATGCAACCTATCCACCACCAGTCAAGAAAACTTTAATCTCTAAAATAGGGAAAAAAGTAAACTCTCAAAGTGTTAATAATCACAGAGATATACACTTCTCGGTGTATATATCTTGTGTTCAAAGTTTTTCTTCCCAAGAAGGATAAAAGTCAAGGTCACACCTCACGCGGTATATAAGAGTTGTATGCTTAAAACTTCGCAAACAGGCAAAATTATTTACACACATCTCTCAGTCCACAGCAGGTTTCGAACCCTGGGAACTCGGCATCAGAGTACACAGTATTTTATTCACACAGTCAGACTCCAGAATGATTCCGAGTTTGCAGGTTCGAATTTTGTTGCGGACTGAAAAATAATGTTTGTAAATAAGAGTTGCATATTTTGATGTATATACACTGAGTGTAAAGTGTACTTAAATCACTTTTTTGTATTAAATCATTCTTGACTAGTGGATGAATAGGTGCAGTTGATAGGTCGTAAACCGCAAGTAACTCGCATTTCAACTTTATATATCCTTGATAAGGTCTCATTTACATTATGCTCCTCAAATCTGATCTTCGTATTAGAGAATGAACATAAATACGCAGGAAAAATGTACACAAGATTGACGAAGTTGATCCCATGTATCAGAAATTTCTCCTACGAAGGAAATGAACTGACTTTACACTCTGGAAAGACGTAGAATAGGAGAGGGGACAAGTGGTTGAAGTATGCCAAAAGGATAACAGGAAAAAATAAAGGAGATACAAATAACGTGATGAAAGTCCAGGACAGAACTTCCAGCGATGGCTTTAATTAAGTTCGACAAATTTAGAATTACATTGGAACAAACTCCCAGGTATCGTCATACATGATGAATGGGTATACAGTATGAGCGACTTGGGTTGGGGGGTGAGTTAAAACTGCCTAGCATGGGCGAATAGGCCTGCTGCACTGTGCCTTCTCATTCTTATGTTCTTATATAGTGAGTGCGATCCCATCTTGGCGGCTGGCAGGCATATCTGAGTTGCGGTCTAATATATTTGGAGGTTCTCTCTAATAGCCACTCCTGATGATGTTGTTGACTTCATTGTGACTAAACTGTCATCCTGTATTTAGAGCTTATACAAGTGAGAGAACATATGTAGCATCATTGGATGACAGCCTCGCCATGTTTATGGAAACACTCTCACTCAGATTTTATTAACTTTTAGAAATAACGCTAAATGTAGTATAAACCTGGAATGAAAGACTGAATATAAACATTAAAAACATGGAATAAAAATTGCAACTCAACATTTTACATCACGGAATAAACAAAAATAATACATATATTTAAAAATGAACAATAATGGATACATTAAAACATGGAATGAAAAAATGAATAAATTTATGTAAATCCTGGAATGAAAGACCATAACGGTATTAAAACTTGGAATGAACAACAACGTATTAAAGCCTGGAATGAAAGTCAGTAAATAAACATATTAAAACCAGGAATGAAAGTCAGTAGATAAACGTATATAAACCTAGAATGAAAGGCAGTAAATAAACGTATTAAAACCTGGAATGAGAGTCAGTAAATATACGTATTACAACCTGAAATAAAAGTTAAGTGAGACTAGGCTGGCAGGTGTATTGGGATGTACAGTGTGATTATAAGATTTATATTATTTTTTTCTACTATTACTGCTGCTACTTGAGTGACTAAACTTATAAATTAATAATGCACGAACAAACTTTTTTTTTGTCAATATTTGCTTATTAAATTTTGCCTTTGTAAAAGTCTGATTTTTTCTTGTAAGCTTTATATTGTAAATATTTATTATTATAATTAATTAACCATTTTATTTTTCACATAGCTAGCCTTTATATAATTTGATTTTAGAATATGGGAGAATAGTGCATGTATGGGGAGGAATGTGGGTGTATGGGGGAGGAATGTGGATGTATGGGTAAGCATGCACATGTATGAACAGGAATGTGGATGTATGGGTAAGCATGCACATGTATGAACAGGAATGTGGATGTATGGGTAAGCATGCACATGTATGAACAGGAATGTGGATGTATGGGTAGGCTTGCACATGTATGAGCAGGAATGTGGATGTATGGGTAGGCTTGCACATGTATGAGCAGGAATGTGGATGTATGGGTAAGCATGCACATGTATGAACAGGAATGTGGATGTATGGGTAAGCATGCACATGTATGAACAGGAATGTGGATGTATGGGTAGGCTTGCACATGTATGAGCAGGAATGTGGATGTATGGGTAGGCTTGCACATGTATGAGCAGGAATGTGGACAGGAATGTCCGTGGCATGGACAGGAATGTCCGTGGCCAGCGTACCGCGTGCTGGCTGCCATAATTTCCATATAATACAGTAATATATTCTCTCGAATTATGATGCGCTGTATGACCCTTAATTATAATAATAATAATAATATCCCACTACCATACTGTGGTGCCCTTGCATTACCATTATTTATCCTACAAACATCAATGATGAATTAGTAAAATGTGTAACGTTATGGTTATAAAAAATTGAAAACTTACATTTGTTTTAGCAAAGCCTGGTGATGCGAAACATTCTTTAATACCGACACTGCACAGCAGACGAGGTCCAATTGCAATAAATACTGGTATTATATAAGTGCTTATCTCTCAGTAAAACTACTAGTAAATTGGTTTTATGTGGCGGAAACAAACCTTCAAAGAAGACAGATATTGACATTTTTGTATTTACAAGAAAGCGGTAAAACCTGAATGGGTCATAAATGAGGTGAATATAGATAATAAAACTTTTAAAAAAAATGCACTGTATATTTACCCTTCACACTGAAGTTGTCTTCAGTAGATGACTTTAGTGTGAAGCTTAA